AGTAGTTATTATTATATTACGTACTTAAAATATCGTTTAAATTATGACGAAGGACAAAAACAATATTTTTGAGTTAACTTTTGCATTTTTTGATAATATTTTAGAATTTAACAGACCGATGATTGTATTTTTTAAATATATCCGTTTCTTAGTAAAATACCGTAGTTAATTGAGTGATTTTCAAAATTAAAGATCGTCTTTAATTCGTATTTATTTGGGATTAATGATTATTAGCGGTCACACGCGAATCCGGCTGCGCAGAATTAAAAAAAAAATAATTAGTAACCTATGTGTTCCAGACTATGTTCTATATTTATGCCAAATTTCATCTAAATCCGTTCATCTGTCTGTGATCATCAAATTCAAATCATCTAAACATTCGCATTTATATATTAGTAAGAAGTAACATACCGTATTACCGAAAAACATTTCCGTCAGTTTACAATGTTGCAGATTTATTTTGTCTCACTTCACATTTATTTAATCTCTTTTATTATAAGAAATCAATCGTAATAGAATAAGTAGATCCTCTCCATAAAATGTAAATCCGTACAAGCCGCATCAAAATCTGCGAGTCCGAGCCGTTTCGCTGAGATTCTTTGAATTTCTGCCAAAAAATATTAATCTTGTACTCCCGAAATAAATTTAATGCAAGATCGATCCATTACGTTCACGTCGGCAAGAATTTGGTCCAAGTTATAAGATTTATTTATTTACTAGTTGTCGCCTGCCACTCCGACTGCGCGGTACTAAAAAGAAATGGTAGCTAAGGTGTTCATTCATAAAAAGTTACTTACGCAGTTTGACAGCAGAATTTTGCAAGGTATGGTTGATGTCAAATGAAATTGTAACTTTTTAAGAATAAATATATTACATAAAAATAACCTGAAAGAACACCTTAGCTACCATTTTTTTTCAGGCTAAGTTCCACATTTATGTCAAAATTGTTCTGGAGATACATACAAAGATCCATCCATCCATCTGAACATTCGCATTTATAATATTAGTAAAATTGACTCTTATTGCTATAATAAAGTTTTTTTAATAGATTGAAAACGATGAGGAACGTTCTCATATACTCTTAGTATAGATAAACAAATTCATTTACAACTAATTCTGCCTTAAAAGAATATAATAATAAATAGATTAATTATACAAGAAAATTTATATTTCTATTACAAAGAATCTTGCACTCAAAGTATAAAATTACCATAAAATGCAAAAGTAGTTAAACTCTCAAAGCAAAACGAATGAAGCTTTTCATTTTTATTTGTCCCCTGACTGAGAGATGTTTGCGATGAAAAGGAATGAATGTGATGCTCCATAAACTTGAGTGTTTTTGTAGCGTTCAATAAAAAAACTTTAACAATTTACTTTATCTATTGATGTTTATATCAAGGAACATTGTATAACTTTCATGTCATGCATTGTTTTGGAATTTTAACTATTTTGTAAGCTATCTATTATGTACAATATTGCAACTAATTATCTGTACGCAACGAATATTAATGAATTACGTATAACTAGCTGTGCCCCGCGACACCGTCCGCGCTAAATTAAAAAAAAGTAATAGCCTATGTGTTCTTCTAGATTTGGTTCCATATTTAGGCGAAATTTCATCAAGATCCGTTCAGCTATTTTAGATATACTTTTAAACCATTCATCCATCTGAACATCCGTATTTATAATATTAGTAAGATATTATTTTCCGATAAAATTCTCTATACGTTAAGTAATTAAATACAATTTTAGTGTAATTCACTTGAATTTTGTTTAAGAACACATCTTCATTCAAAAGTTTTATCTACTATTATAAGACCATTTATAAAGTTCAAAGTTAATAAAAACAGCTAAAATTAATTTCCACATTAAATTGATTAAAAACAAATGAATACAACACAACCAAAGTATTCGATGCCAATCAAAGTAAATTAAAATTAATATTAAATCCGCTTCCGCTTGTATTCTGTACCAGCAGTAATAAACGTCAGTGTAGTGCCGAGGCGTGCGGCGCGCGTCCGTCACCGCCGCGTCTGCTCACATATTACAAAGTAGTGTACCACACACAGCGTTCTAGTCTTCACGACATAAACCAACATTAAAATAACATCCTGTATCATCTTAATACTGTTAGGAAGAAAATCCGACATTGTACCGGTGTATCAGCGCAACACTAGCCTTATTAAAATGTCAACGTTTATGTCCCCTCACTAATCAATCTGACACTTGACTTGGTAACGAAAGCGCGCCATTCGCGCCAAATGATTCAAAATAATATTATCTTAAAGTACGAACTAAACCGTATTGTCTGGGTGACTATCTTTGGGTTGTCATTGAGTCTCTCTTGTTGAGGACGTATATGACAACAATCTTCTTTGTTCTTCTTGTTAAGACAATTAGAAGTATACTTCGCAGCATTAGCTGTACTAATGGCCATTCTGACTTATGACAAAAGTACAGAAGACAGGCGTCAAGTGGAAGTAATTCCGCATTTCGTCTGATGAATGTGGGCTTAAAGCCTTATTCCGGTCATCTTCCCTTCACCTAGAAAGAGTAAGATGGGTAAATGGATTTGACGTAGGATTGTCAATAATTTTAGACATAATATTATAAATGCGAATGCTTGGATGATTGTTTGTTTGAAGGTTTCTCCGGAACGGCTCAATGGATCTCGCTGAAATTTGGCATAGATGTAAAACATAGTCTGGAAGAACACATAGGTTGCTTATTAAGTTTTTGTTTTAATTCCACGCGGACGGAGTCACGGGCAACAGCTAGTGTAATATATAAAGACAATGTGACTATGATCAATGTTTATAGAGCTAGCGAAGGTTTCTTACGTGTTAGGAATCATAATGAAGATACGGTGACAAAATATACTACTTATTTCTTTTAGTATCTTCCTATAATTTTATATAATTTTCCTATATTTCTATGAGCTAAGTCAACAGAGTAGCTTCAATATCCATATATGATGGCTACTACGCGCTTCATGATTGTGAAAATTGATAGATAAAGATATCTTACTTCTTACTAATATTATAAATGCGAATGTTTAGATGGATTTTTGTTTGAAGGTATCTCTAAAACGGCTAATCGCATTTCGCTGAAATTTTGGTATATATGTAGATCATAGTCTGGAAGAACACATAGGCTACTTTTGAGTTTCTTATTTAATTCCGCGAACACGGAGTCGCGGCCGACAGCTAGTTGTGGAATAAAAGTAAAGTTTAACCAGAAATATTATGGAGTTAAAAATATACAGTATTTTTTTCATGTTATGTGGCAAACGTGCAAAAGGACATCTGAATTCGCTGAACTGGCGAAGCGATCGTTGCCTATATCGTGCAATAGATTATTATTGGCTCTACCACTGCTAAGTTAGTTGTATATGGTAACTTTTGCTTTAACTAACGTAACTTACTCGTATAACGCAAAAACAAATGCACAATGCTGTTCTTTTATTTACTCTTATATAATACATGTTTTTGTCGTCACGACTTAATGTTCCGAGCAGAATTTTGTCGCTAACAACCTATTTCCAAGCTCATGACGCCCATTTCTTATTTATGTTAACGACAAAAATTAATTGAATCGCCGCGCCGTCCGGCGCCTGACTCGCCCGACTCTCCCCACTTGTCCCACCCGCCTCACACCATTACTTCTCTAGGAGATTCTTTACATAGTAACTCAATACTGAAGACTTTGACTTTGTACACGAGGCAACGTAATTACTCAAAACTTATATCATGATTGCGTTGCGAAAATCACATTGCGTTCGTACATACATTATTAAATCGTCGACACATCGACTATTCGATCAATTATTATAAAAAAAATATTAATTAATTATAAAAAAAAAGTTAATCAATCTATATATTTAAACGATCAACTAGGACCAACCAAGACACGTGAGTTTGCCAAACATTTACACGATAAATATACGACAAAGCGAGTCGATAGTAATTGCCTATTAACCTAATTTATACCAAACATTTATCTTTGTACGGTATACTAAGCCAAAAGTTGACTTTCATAGGTTGTGTAGCAGTATGGGGGCTTAAACCGTAATATCGTGTTGCTATACGGAATTTCAAAGGTTATTTCGGGGTACAATATTTTACATTAAACTTATATTATTAACGATTTAGTTCCAAAACTTTCGTTTACTAATATAAATGCGAAAGTTTACATGTAAGGATGTTTGTTAGACGGTATCTCCAGAACAACTGAACGGATCTCGATGAAATTTGGCATAAATATAGAACATAGTCTGGAAGAACACATAAGCTACAATTTTAAGTGTTTATTCCGCACGAACGGAGTCGCGTGCGACAGATAGTCAAATCATAAATCGATTTGTAAATAACGTTCAAAGTTCAATGTTACCTAGTCATTCACCTCTTACATTTGTTACAAATAACATAGTCATCGTTACAGCTTACATTTACATCGTAAAAAAGAGGGTAGGTAGAGTCTAATGCGTATCAGTATTTCTTAGGTTTGACATAGTAACTAGTAAAATTTCTAAATACTATTTCTTTCGTTACATCACAAATTACTCTTACAAAGTATTACCACTAAAAATTAGAGATACGATATAAAAAAAGGTTAAAAACTTGTAATCTCCATTTCCATAGTTCGTACCTCATGTACCAATGTGTTTTGCGGTGAAGGAAAACATCGCGATGCACATATCTGGGAAGAAATTCAAAGATGTGTGAAGTCACTGGGCCTGGTTGTCTATGGCCTAGTCACATCTAATTATAGGCTTTCAAGGCATTCAGTTGGGACTTATAGTGAACTGATGATGCCATCTCATAGACCAGGGCACGCAAGCATCTTAAGTAAAGTGACTAAGATATAGTCAACGCTGGTCCAGTGTGATTTGACTTCACATATATCTTTGAATTTCTTCTCAGTTTGCTTATTATTGTTGCTTAGATTTAGCTTTATCTTAGATCTAGCTTTAATATAATTATTCTTCTTTTTCAGGTATCAAAGATGAGTCATTGACGAAGGTATACCCAGGTCATATGTTAATAAGTGTACAGATTAAATAAACCGTTTCTAGGCCGAACCAATTACTAAGAAGCGGGTCGTTTTTATTGCAAGGCAGTGTAGTGTTAATTACTTTTCAGTTTCATTTGCGAGATGTGTTATTTCAATGGTGATTTGATTAATGGAGTTTGCACGTAATTATCAAGAAGTCATGTTGGATCCAGCTGGGCCTACACACTTACACATCTTTAATGAATTCTTTATGAATTTCTAATAAAACTGTTGAATATTTTCTACCCTTATCTTAAAATTATTCTTCATACAGCTTCAAATTCTCCGTTATTCACTGTGGCAAATTTCTTTGAAGTCTTTCATAATCTTTTCACTTGAATATCTTTCCTTCGACAAATTCTTTTTCCCCTTTTATGCGGAGCGTCGACTGTAATTTTGTTCATCATAATAACAGAGTACCTAATATCAGAGCGGTCGTAATTTTAACTATGACTTTATCTCGTCATTTATATATCATTTGCTTTTATTTCATAAATAAATTCTTATATAAAACTAACTAATATTATAAATGCGAATGTTTGGATGGATGTTTGTTACATGGTATCTCCAGAACGGCTGCGTGGATCTCTGAAATTTTGTATAAATATAGAACAGAGCCTGGGAAAAGATATAGACTACAAATTAAGTTTTTTTTTTATTCTGCGCAGACGGTTAGGCAGGCGATAGCTAGTTTCATAAATAAATTCTAATATAAACCTTACTAATAATATAAATGCGAATATTTGGACGGATGGATGTTTGTTAGAAGATATCTCCAGAACAGTTTAACGGATCTCGATGAAATTTGTCATAGATGTAGAACATAGTCTGGAAGAACATAGGCACATTCAGTTGTTTTCTGGACGTAGTCGCGCTCAAAAGCTTAATAATAATAACTAAACGATAAAGTGAAATTAATTGAACTTAAGTGAAGATAAAAATTGTATCTTTACTACACCCCAACGACGGATAGATAGCATTAAGTGGATGAAATGGCGATGGATATTGTCTAATCCAATTAGACCGGTCGATATGTTGTCTATGGTCACGCGATGTATCGCCCGGAGTTCTGTTAACAGAAAATTGTCTATTAATTAAATGATGGTTGTACAAATTGTATTACACTTTTACACGAGTTAATAAAGATAAAGATAGATGGATTTTGTTCAATAGGGTTTTTTATATCATAAGGTAGCAAACGAGCGAGCGGCCACCTAAAATAGCGAAGCGACCGCTGCCTATATATAGACATACGCAATTGCATATGCGTTGCCTACCTTTAATCGAAGGAGGAGAGGATACACAGAAGAAAATACTTTCCCTTCCCATGCATCCTCTCATCCGGAAAGTCCACTTCCACTTCCCACCCTTTCCTTATAAGAAAAAGGGTAGGAAGGGAAAGAGGACTAAATTAGGCCTTCGGGACGCACAATCATCAAACGAAACGCGGAATTGCTTCCACTTCACGCCCGTCTTCTGTGTGGTCGTGGTATTTCACCGGGCGAGCCGGGACAATTCGTGTGAACATGTTAAAGGGGGCTCTACCGCTGTTTGTTTAAACACATTAATCTCAGGAACTACTGGTCCGATTTAAAAAATTCTTTTTTTGTTGGATAGTTCATTTATAAAGGAAGGCTTTACGCTATATAACATTACGATGCGACCGATAGTTTTTAATTCCGCGCGCAACAGAATCGAGGCGACAGCTAGTAAGCAATGAAAAGATAAAAAAACACTACACAAATTCATTGAGTCATCGTCCGAAGATACATTTTAAATAATCAGAGAGAAAATTATGAATAATGATATAAACCATTAATCATTATTTTTTAAATCATTAACGCAACGCCGACATGTGCACGTGAAATCGTTAACAAGTAATCATTGAATTGTCAAGTCATGTACACAGTTGTTTTAAATTAAGTAACAACGTATAACTTAGAACATAAGTGGCTCAGGGGTTAAGCACCTTTGCTGAACATCATGGATTCAAATCCTGTCATGTACTAATGTGTTTTTCGATTTATATATTTAAAATTATTAGTTAGAGTCCTCTAGAAAGAATGGCGTTTTCGTTACCAACTGTCAGATAGATTAGTGAGGGGACATAAACGATGATATTTTAGTAAAGCTAGTGTTGCGCCGATACACGGGCACAGTGTCGGATTTTCTTCCTAACAATACATCTGAGGTTCCTACGGTTAAGGAAACATCGTGATGCTACACATATGAGATGAGATTCAAAGATATGTGTGTAGTCAAACTGCACAGGACCAGCATTGACTATGGCCTAGTCACCTAACTTAGGGTACTCCGAGTCTCTTAGTGGGGAGGAATAATGAGCTCAAATAAAATCGATCCAACAGGTCCTTTAACATGTTAATTTCTTATGATTGTATTTGTTTGATTTTTAAAAGTATAAAGATAGATGATGTTGACATGATGAAGAAAGTAATAAGAATTTGAATGGCCACAAAAAAACTGAAAAATGTATGTATGTATTGATTGTATGGAACATAATAAGACTAAGAGATTGTATAGAAGAGTACTCGTACTTCAACTGATATTATGCTTTCTATCTCATTATGACACCTTCATTTGCCTACAGAGTTATTAATGTTTTAGAGTGGAGAAATGTATAAAATCTCGCAAGCTATGGTCTGATTCCCAGGCATTCACAATCATCATTAAGACCATAGTAATGTTTATCTTAATGACATGGTAAGTCGTGATGTGTGTGCCTGATTCTGAAGAGCGTCGGTGGCTCAGGGGTTAAGCACTTGATTTGCAATCTGCAGGTCCTGGATCCGAATCCCGCCATGTAAGTGTTTTTCAATTTCCGATTTACATATGTACCGATTTCTTACGGTGAAGGAAAACATTGATGCTGCACATATCTGAGAAGAAAGTTAAAGATATGTGTGAAGTCAACCAATCTGCCCTTGGCCAGCGTGGTTGACTATGGCCTAATCACCCTTAACTTAGGGTAGGCTCCGAGCCCCGCGGTAAGGACGTATAGTGAGCTGATGATGATGATTCTAGAGTAGACAATTAGTCTATTAATCGTGGTGTTGAGGTTTGGTTAAGGAATTTTAGTTTTAATTTTTAATGTACATTTTTTGTAAAGATAATATTTTAACATAGAATTTAAAATTTAAAAAAGGTTAAAATGTAAAAAGTTCCAATATGTTTTTTGTTATATCTGTTTTGTCAAAGATGATGGGATGACGATAAACTTAACTAGAGAGTTTACATTAATTTGGATGCCTTTGTATAGAATTCTGCAGCTGAAGCAATTTTGTGATAAGATCGAAGGATAAATTTGACACAATGGAAGTGATAGTATCATTGACAATTGTTTCACTTTGATGTAATACAATTAAGGATACTGGATTGTTAAATGGGTTGTTAGTCTTGTGACAGGTAAGCATAATCTTACTAATATTATAAATGCGAATGTTAAGATGGATGTTTTTAACAGTGGTAGAGCCCGCTTTGACATCTTCCCACGAATTGGCGCGGCTCGCCCGGTGAAATACCACGACCACATAGAAGACAGGCGTGAAGTGGAAGCAATTCCGCGTTTCGTGTGATGAGTGTGCGTCCCGGAGGCCTAATTTAGTCCACTTTCCCTTCTCACCCTTTTTCTTATAAGAAAAGGATGGGAAGTGGAAGTAATTGAAACTCATAACTGTCATATATCAAGATTGTTATTATCTGTATTGTAAATGACTGAATGTAATTTGGTGTCAATAAATGTTGTGTTAACAATTTCATTAAATGAATTTCAACTTTGTGGAACAAAGAATAAGGTGCTAATTTCTATGTTCATTGTTATGAGTCATATAGTTTGTAGCTTAATATAGAACACGATTATTTATTTTAATAAATATTCTAATCGCAGTCATCAATTTTATATCGAAGGAAAATAAATCAGACAGAAAAACTTGACTTCTTTTTGATACCATTCATATTAATATCTTAATACTAGCTGTCGTCCGCGACTCTGTCCGCACGGGATTAAAAATAGATGTTGGCCGATTCTCAGACCTACTCAATATGCTCACAAAATTTCATGAGAATCGGTCAAGCCGTTTCGGAGGAGTATGGGAACGAAAATTGTGACACGAGAATTTTATATAAAAGATAATTCTAAAGTTCGTCTTTTGTTTTATATCTGTGTAGAAAAATTATAAAAACCCTTGTCTGTCATCCAATTTAGAATAAAAAAAAATTAATCACAATGACTAAGCGCTTTTCAAACAATATTTTCTAAGTGGATAAACCATGTAGATTTTGATCATTATTCATCCGCCATTAACCAAACAGGCTGTTTTGTCAACAAGAGTTATCCCTATCAAAAGCGATGCCTTGTTTCCGAACGTCATTTGTCATCACGTTTCCCCGCCATTTTAATTGACAGATGTCAAATTACAAGCTCTTTCGCGCCATTTTGCGGCATGTCTCTAATGATGGAGATTTGTAGATACGTTACCGTTTTTTATTTATTTATTTTACTAAATATATTTATTAATTTAATTTACTAAATAAAATCTGTTTGATTTACAAAATGTAACGCGATATTTTTGCTACATCGTTAGTTTGTTTAGCACTTTTTTAAATGATTTTTGCTTTGAAGATTAGAAAATATATTTTCTACTTTAATTGATTAAAATGTGTTTGGCATTTTATATCATTTATTCAAGACCATAGATTAATTGAATTATTCGTTAATTAGTCGGAATTAAAAAAAATATAAGTAGCCTATGTGTTCTTACAGAGTATGTTCTATACGTATGCCAAATTTCATCAGGATCCGTTCAGACGTTCTGAAGATATCTTCAAAGAAACATCCATCCATCTTAACATTCGCATTTATTTATTTCATGTAACAGTAGGTAACACATATTGGGAAAAATATTACATTGGTTTTGGAAAATATATTACGTGGAAAAATATACGACGTGTA